TCTGTCTTGGGCTATGGATCTGAACAGAGAATTCTCAAAGAAGAAATAAAAATGGCTAAGAATTGTCTTAAAAGGTGTTTAACATCCTTAGCAATTGGGGAAATGCAAATTAAAACTACTCTAAAATTTCATCTTACCCAGTCAGAATGGTTAAGATGAAGAAAACAAATGACAACAAATGCTGGTGAGGATTCAGGGAAAGGGGAACCCTCATTCACTGCTGGTAGAACTGCAAACTGGTGTAGCCACTATAGAAATCAGTGTGGAGAATTCTCAGAAACTAAAAATAGATCTACCATATAATTCAGCTTACCACTCATTGGCATACATCCAAAGAACTTGATATCTTACTACAGAGATACTTGCTCAGCCATGTTCCTTGTGACTCTAATCACAATAGTTAGGACATGGAAACAACCAAAATGTCCTTCAACTGATGAATGGATAATGAAAATGTAGTTCATATACACAATAGAGTTCTATTTAGCTGTAAAGAAAAATGAAATAATAAAATGTGAAGGATGGAACTGGAAAATATTATACTGAGGTACCCCAGACCTAGAAAGAGAAAGCTCCATGTTCTCTCTTATTTGTGGATCCTAACTCAGAATCTTTGAATGTAAGTCTACAACCTGAAGTAACACCAGAAAGGATACTGGGGTGGCAGGGGAGGAACCCCAGACTTTCTTAAGCATATGTGTATAGTTCAAGAGTTGTTCTGTGTTGCCAGGCTAGACTACCCAGGGATTAAGAAGTCCCCTTCAAATCACCCTGCTAGATTTATGCTTGCTGTATTCCCAGTGCCCGGGCTGCTTAGTTTCCTAGCAATGCCCTCTTTGCAACTCATCTGCTGGCCTGCCATGCAGTCTGGGAACTCAGACAATGATACCCCTAAGTGAAGTCCTCAGAAAGTTTCTATCTGACCTTTTCCTGGTCTTTGGTAGCCCATTCGTATTCATGCCTTAGGTCATAGGAAGTAGAATTCATTTTCCCCAAGGCATAGAAACTGGGCTCCCCTTTCTCCAGAGCCAGTTATCAACCCTCACTCTAACCATTTCCCTGTCTTTTGGTTTAAGAGTTGACCATGAAGAAATTCTGTGTCTCACCTTGTTTAAGACTCTCATTCCAGAAGGTTCTGTTGCATATCTGGAAGGAAGGAAAGCTACACTGAGAGACCAAGTTAAGAATCTGGAGAGATGGTCCTTGCTGTGCTCTTCCCTCACCCAATTACTATCAGATCACAACCTTTTCATTCAATCATATTTCTACATGGTATGCAGTTGGTTGTACCTAAGCATAAAATAGACAATTTAGTTGGGCATGGTGGTGCAGGCTTTTAGTCCCAGCTGGTAGATCGCTGTGAGATCAAGCCTAGCCTGGTCTACATAATGAGTTCCAGGCCAGCTGGGGTAACAGGGAGACCCTGTCTCAAAAAAGGGACAATTTCCTGGGAATCCTTACATCTTCAACCTGAATGTTCCTCTGTCACGTAAAGCTATTAATTATGATCAAATAAATTTGTTACACTGTTTCTTTTGCTAACTGTGCTTTATAAAGATGTGAAGATGTGTCCACTACAATCCTTTCTAATAGGCAGGAAAGGACTTCTTCCTTTTTGCTCCTGCAGCAGGAAGCTCTGGGGTACTTTGAACTTTAGCAATAAAGTAAATGATTTAAGGTTAAGCCACTGCTTGACATAATTTTTTTTTTTAAGCAGGTGAGGCTTGGTGAGGTAGAACATCATGTTCTCAGTAATATCACGGAAGAGAGTAATTCCCACTTGCAGGTTGTTTCTCATGTGTTAGGAATCTTTTAATTTTATTATTTTATTATTTGGTGCTGGGGATTGAATCCAGGGCCTCACACATTCTAAGGAACTTTTGATACAAAATCTTTCCTTTAATCTTTGTAACAGGCAGCTGAAGATACTATTTCCACATTTCTCTTGAAGACATAGATTTAGTCAGTAAGAAACCTGCCTTGGGTCACAGAGTTGGCTGAGTGTGTCAGAGGTGGCTGGAGCCTCACCAAGCCCAGGCTGGTCCTTCCTCTGTTGGGCCTTCTTCTACAGCACTGTGTCCATTTGAAAACTGGATTCTTTTTTAAACTGACTAGTTATGAATACCTTATATATTCTGGATGTAGGTCCCTTATCAGAGATGTGATTTTCAAATGTTTTAATCCCATTTTCAATTTTATTTTTAATCATATGTATCTGTATGTGGGGATGTGTACATGTGAGTGCAGGTGGAATCCAGAAGAGGGCATCAGATCCTCTGGAGTTTGTGTTTAAAAGTGACTGTGAGTGCTGTCTGAGGTAGGTGATGGGATCCAAAGTCAGGAGCTCAAAAAGAGCAGTATGCATTCTTAACTGCTGACTGAGCCCTCTCTCCAGTTGCCTCTTCCATTCTTTAAATTATCCTTTTGTTCTCTTGATATTGTCCTTTGATACATAAATGTTTTTAACTTCGAAGTCTAATTACTTATACTCTTTCTTGCTTGTATTTTGTGTGCCTTGCCTGATCCAACTGAGTATTTATGCTTTTTTATTCTAAATATGTTATAGCTCAGCTCTTATATTTAGGCCAGTCATCTAAATTTTGAACAGTTAGGGGGAGGTCCACTCTTTTCCTTTGGAATGTGGGCACTCAGTTGTCTCAGCGTCACTTGTTGAAAAGACTGCCCTTTCCCTGTAGAATTATCTTGAACATTCTTGCCAAAAACTTGATTGCCCCAGAAAGTAAAGGAAGATCACTTAATTTCCAGCCCTAGAACTCTGGGCCAACACAATTGTGTTTATTGTAAATTATTTATTATAAATTTCTGTTCATTAAAAACAGGTATTCTGTTAACGGCAGCAAAAATGGTTGAGACATTTATGTATTAGAGAGATGAATCTGTGTGGCATATACTGCAAGTATTTTCCCCCAGGTAACCTATCTTTTGTTTTCTATGTACTACCATAATTTACAATACCTTTGTTATGAAATCTATCAACCTTTTAAAAAATTGCTTCTGTTTTTCACAAAACATTTTCCTGCTCTGAGGTTAAAGGCTTGTTTTGTTTTCTTTTAGTACTTGTAACAGGCAGTTTTTACACTAGTTTCCTAATACTTTTTCTTATGTATGGTGTAATGGATATCATTTTATTTTTTAAAATATGACATAAAATTGTCCCAACACTATTAGAAAAACATGTGTTTGCCTGTCCTAATTTGTCTTTCTATTGCTGTGACAAAAAATTCTGACCAATACCAACTTGGGGAGGAAAGGGTTTATTTAGCTTACATTTCCCGGGTCACAGTTCATCAGGGAGCCCAAGGTAGGAACTTAGGGCAGGAACCTGGAGGCAGAAGCTGGAGCACAGGCCATGGAGGAATGCTGCTTACTGGCTTGCTCCCTTGGCCCATGCTCATCCTGCTTTCTTCTGCAACATAGGCCCACCTGCCCAGAGATGGCATCACCAACAGTGGGTTGGCCCCTCCCACATCACTCAACAATCAAGAAGATGCCCCACAGACATGGCTGCAGGCTAGTTCAATAGAGGCAGTTCTTCAGTTGAGGCTCCCTCAACCCAGGTGTGTCAAGTTGACACTAAAGCTATCCAGCACATTGCCCCAGCAATTTATGATGCGAATTAAAAATTATTTTATTTTTATTTTATGTGTATGAATATATTGCCTTCATGTGTGTAAGTGCACCTGTGTTGTGCAGTGCCCGTGGAGGTCAGAAAAAGGTGTTGGATCCCCTGGAACTGGAGTTACAGATGGTTGTTAGCCACCATGTGGGTGCTGGGACTCAAACCTGGGTCCTCTGTAAGTGCTTGTAACCACTGAGCAATCTCTCTAGCCCCTCTTATGTGATTTTTATCAAATATTAAATTTCCATGTGGCTTTGGATCTACTTTAGTGCTTTCTCTTCTAGTCTGCTGGTCCCTTGTATATTCAAGTTACAATTCTGCCTTGTTTCAGTCAGCTGCTCAATGTCTGGAAGCCTTAATCTCCACCTGTGGTGGTTCATTTTCACTATTTTCCTATTCCTGAAAGCTTCATTTTCCACATGAACTTTTAAGAAAGCTCAGTATTATGAAAACCACTAAACTTTTCCATCTCCTTGCAAAGTTTTAAGCTCCAGATCACAATTATTTAAAAGGTAAGGTTTTATTCACTGAAAATGAACTCTTAACAGTCAATCACTGGGAGGCCCGCATTGTGGGACATGTCTTTATTTTCAGCCCTTCAGAATAAGAGGCAGGAGACTCTCTGCAAGATTGATGCCAGCCTGATTTACATAGTGAGTTCCAGGCTAGTTGTAGCTATAGGGAGAGCCTGTCTCAAAACAACAATAAAACAAAACAAAAACAAAAGAAAATAATCATTAGGTAATCATTAGGTAATTGGGTGTTGATATGTGAAGATAAATCCGTTGCTTTTCCTTACATCTGCTGAGGCCTTGTGCTATCCAGTGCACTGCTCTCTAGAAAAGACCATCGGAACCTCCATCTCATCATCTGTGAAGAGTTCTTAGAGTAGGACCAGGTTCTAGTCATCACACAGTGACACAATTGTCGAACTCTGTGACAATAATGAACAGAGTGACTTACTCTGAATTCTGATTTCTTCACAGGTAGCAGGACATCCTGCTCTATCTAGGAAGGACGTCATTCCTGCATCAGTGGCTAGTGTGGTCCACATGCAAATCCGCTGACTGAAAGGGAGAAAGGCGCTTTGCAGTAAAAGGGAGTCTTTTGTCCTTTAACCAGTAAGATCAGGTACTGGTTGGTGGCAGGTCTTTCCCTATCCTGCTATCTCACACTCCAAGCCCTGACAGCGTGGGGTGCACAGCAGAGAAAAGGGCAAGCACCAGGATCACAATCCGGAGCCGCAGCACCACTTCTGGCAGGCCGGCGCTGAGCCACCAGCGCCACCTGCTGGGAGCAGCGTGCGTGGCAGGTGCGGCCGGAAGGGGAAGCCGCGAACTCCTGTGAATCCCGCTCCCGGGCTGGAGTCGCCAGGGCTGACACCAAGCCGACAGGTGGGCCGAGCTGAGGTGGCATCTGGGGTCCGGGACCCCAAATCCTGAGCTCACTGTGCGAGGCTCGAGTGACCAGCCACCGGAATTTCAAATGTTGGGCAAATCAGGTTCTCTGTACTCTTGGCTTCCCTGGGGAGCGCACGTCTTTTGGGGACACTCAGGTCCTGTGGGCGCACAGCTCTCCAGTCCGCCTCCAGTGGGCGCAGTGGCCGCAGTTGGAGCAAGCCGCCGCTCCTGACGTTGATGTGTCCATCCGGAAGGAACTGCTTTTCCTCTTAGGATAGAGGTGCTGTGGATGCTTTAAATGCGGAACGTGGTGCTCCTAGTCGTCCCTCGGGATTAAAATTCAGCTCACTCCTAAATTTAACATCTAGTCCGTGCTTTGCTGCTGAGTTGTAGAGGTGAAGATGATTGTTGTCCTAAAGCAACAGAGTCTAGAAGAGGAAACGTGAATAAACAATCGCCGTGCACCCAAAATATGATAGATGCCAATGTGGAGACTAGACAGGAGAACTGGACATTCGCTGTAGGAACATGATGAGGTGAGTTATGCAGCACATCTTGAATTTTCTCAGGTGAAGGGAAAGCTGAATGTGGGAACGGAACGTGGAGACAGCTCAATGAAAGTTAAGCAGGGGCAGACACATACTTGATTAAGCACTTGGGAAGACATCCGGATTTAATTTGGCTTCATTGTTTTTATACTGGCTTCAGGTTTGGACAGGTTTAATCTGAACCTCTGTTTCCTTACCACAAAATGGATAAAATTATCCTTGCAAGCCTATTTTCAGAATTAAAGCCGTGTGTGAAGGGTGTATTTGTCACACACACACACACACACACACACACACACACACACACACACATTTTGGCCTGTACTGTCTTAGTCAGGGGCAGGGTTCTCCCATAGTCTCAGAAAGAAACAGATTACTTATCCATTTCAGTTTTTGTTTCTGTTTGTTTTGCTAGAGATGAAACCCTATGGGGCCTCATGCATGCTTGGCTCGAGGTATTACTGTCATCAGTTTACTATGTCAAAGAAAAGGGCCAACACTTTTGTATCTTTCTGCACAGTCAAGAGTTTTTTGAATAACAAAAATTCACAAGGTATGGTGGTTTCAGTGGCAGGTATTTGTCAGATATTCCTCCTTTCCTCGGAGGCTTCACTGTGGTCAACACAAATTCTTTATTCCAATCTTAAGTCTATGTCAGCTCTCAGATCACATATTACACATCATACAGTGTCTGTCATCTATCATCTGTCTATAGGTTACAGAATAACTACAAAGGTTTAAAAAGGCAAGGAGCTTCAAAGAAGCCTGAGAAGCCAAAACTGGATGCAAGAGTCTCTGTATTGACAGGATAATGAACCAGAAGAAGCAGAGCTGCAGGGAAGAAGCTGCTCCGTGAGTTAGTCCACTGTGGGTCACAGATGTGAGAGGGAGATGCAGAGTTGAGTCCAGCTGCAAAAGTGAAAGTGCAGGACAGGTCCAGATGAAGAAATGGGTGGGTGGGTTGATGGATGTGTGGAAGGATGGATGACAGTCACAGATGGGAGAACAGGAAGATGGGCAGGTGACAGCTAAGTCATGTCAACAGTGGGGACTGAGTGAGCCCCTGGGATAGTCGGGAGTTCCCTGTCAGTCCTTGATTCATACATTGGTTGGTCAGATAACAGGTTGGTGGGGACTGTTGCCGCTGCAGTGCTAAGTGCCCACCTCTTAATGGGTCCAGGTGAAGGAGCTACATGCTTTCTGTTTTTTCTGTTATATTCTTGGACCTGGTTTCCCTGACATGATTTTAATATGCACATATACCTATAGTCTATAGTATCAGTTCTCCCTTATAAATTTATAGGGTGGCATTCTTTCCCTCCCAAGAATAACTTATTTATCTTCCTGCACTTCATTGGTGTTGCTGGACAGATGGTACTGTTCATGTGCACACTCAGGCACACAGCTGTCCTCTGTCCTTAAAAAGGAGTCAAAAGTAGCTTGTAAAATAAAGTCTCTCAGAACAAGACAAAGCCTGGAAAAATGACTGTTTTTATCCAATATGGAGTACTCACCTCTGAATATCACCCCAGCACTTTGTTTATAGAAGAGGGGTTCTTTGTGTAGCCAGGGCTGATCTTGAACTTCTGCCTCAGCCTTGAGTACTGGGATTGCCTATGTGTTCCACCTCACCTGCCTTTTACATATTTTTATATATTCTTTAAATAAATTTTATGTATATAAGTGCACCTGTGTTCTGCAATGCATGTGGAGGTCAGAAGAGGGCATCAGATTCCCTTGGAGAAGACAGAGCTGAAAGCAAAGCAAAATAAAGGTACTATTGGCAATCTATTACACTGAAACCTGTCCTGAAGGTGTATATTTTGACTAAGACTTATGTTGTTGCAAAGAAACCCCAATACAACATTCTTCATTGTTATCTCAACTTCTACCCTGTTCCAATTAATATCATAACCTATAAAATCAATATACTGGAGTGGGAGGAACAGGGTCCAGATTCCCATTTTTTATTCCATCATGGAGTTGTCTGGGTGTTTGGGCACCAAACATATATTGAGATCTAACTCCTTTGAGCCCTTCATGTCTTCAAGCATTGCACTACAGTGCAGCATGTAAGGAATGTGGCCTATCTTGGGTGCAGCCCAAGCTTAATTTTCTTCATCTTCTTATTTTATGTGCCTATGAAGATCAGAAGAGGGTGTCAGATCCCCTGGAACTGGAGTTGCGGATGACTGTCAGCCGTCATATGGGCACTGGAATTTGAACCTTGGTCCTCTGCAAGAGCAGCCAGCGCACTTAATCACTGAGCAATATCTCCCAGCCCAAGCCTAAGCTTAAGAAATAAGGAAATACAATAAGTTGTAGGCTTTTACTTCACTTAAACTTAATGCACTTCTTCTCTAGACCCTCCAGCTGTTAGGCAGAACCCAGATTATGTTCCCAGTTCTGGCTGAGTCCATCCGTGTGAACAATTCCTCCATGCTCACATCAAGGGCAGCATGTGTCAAATAGAAGTATCACATGAAAATATTGCGAACGTTAAACACATATAAGTTCAGGGATTGGTCTCAAGAAGAAAGTAGTCCACTCCCAAGCTGGTTGTTCAGTTTCCTCTTCCTCCATAGCACTTATTCATACTAAATTTATAGTTGTATGTTTTTTTTTCTTTGTAGATACTTGCAATCTGTGTTACAGTGAGATACAGAAAATACATTAGTTTCTTGCAGTTGTAGTCTGGACTGAAGACCCCTGCAGGCGTTTATAGAGATGTTTAAACAGGTTGTTTATCTCCTAACACCACACTGCACTGTGGAGTTCTACTGCGTCAGTAACTTAGCATATGGCAACTTAAGTGCCAAGGCATAAATGAGCTTCAGTGTTTTGGAGAAGCTGCTCAGAGCTGGGATGGCCTCAGTGTAACCACACAGTCTGTTTATTTCCCTGGTTTACTCATACAACCCCACTGTGGAAAAAAGTGAACTTGGGTGTCTGCTATTGCAATTCTAAGTTAGTGAACAAAATATTTCATGTAACGTACTCTTGTTTTGTACACACAAAGGCAACAACAAAATTACTGGTAAATGAAATAGAGGATCTCTCTCTTTACTGAGTTTAAGTCAAAGTGAGGGCTTCTTGGACCATCAAAAAATATTTCTTGCATACCTACTCAGTGAGAGGTGTGATGGGGATGCAGTGCTGCTGTCAGGGTTTCTGGCCTGTCCTCCTGTGGGCAGGTTTCTGTTGGAACAGACTTTCCTTCTGAGCTGGGTTGCCCAACTGTTGTTTATTTTCAATATGTGAAAAGTCATTCTTACTATTCTTTTGTGTTTTCCACATTTCTGTTAGTATCCACTTTATGACCATAGAATTATCCTCATCTGTTTTTTGCCTTCCAGCTATCAAGTATTACTAGATTTTTCTTACAATATTTTTTATTACTTTTTTGCTCTAATTCCAGAAATTCTTTGTCTCCATTTTTCAAAAGTTTGAGACAGGGTAGCTCTGTGTCATTCCGGCTGACCCATAACTTACTATGTAGACCAGGCTTGCCTCCAAATCAAAGCTCTACCTGCCTCTGCCTCCCAAGTGCTGAGACTAAAGACATGCGCTACACTCTGGTTCTGGCTACAATTTTGTATTTTTCATGCCTGTTTCATTGCAGTAAATCAAACATTTCCAGTCATATTGCTTTTCCTCAGAAACTTTTCTGTATGGGTCACCTACCTGGTCAATCCTTTCCCTGTGAACTGGACAGATTCGTTTTCCCTGAAGACTATTTTTCTGTTACAGGTTGTAGGGGGTCAAGGCACATCTCCACCTAATCCCCCTGCAGTAGTCTAAACAGTCCTCTTTCCTGTTAGGGATCTCCATTTGGGAACAACCAGGATACAAGTCTTCTCCACAGAAAAGGATTTCAGGATGAGCCAGTATGAAGCAGAGTTTATTTATGACATTAAAATATTTTGACTTATATTTTTATTTTATGTATATGAGTGTTTTGCATGTATGTATGTAAGTGTACCACATGTGTACAATACCCTGAGAGGCTAGAAGAGAGGATCAGATCCCCTGGACCTGGACTACCTGCCTTGGGATGCTGGGAACTAAATGAACCTTTGTCCTCTAGAAGAGCTGTAGTACTCTAAACTACTGAGCCCTGTCTCCAATCCCAGCATATTCTCTAAACAAATTTTCTTTAATAAATAGCCCCTACATATGTTTTGGTCTGGTGAATACTTTTATCCCCACCTCTGTGACTTGTCACTGTTCTCAATATGACATCTTAGTGGTCTAGACAGGGGAACTTTCCTAATAACTCACTTGGCCTCTTCCCCTTTCACTCCCCCCTCCCCATCCTGGTATGTGCTGCCACTCCCAAGAGTGGGAAGGCATGGAGCCAGTGGCTGCTGATGTTGGTACCCACTAGGTCTCCCTCTTGACCAGACTTCCTGATCCTGGAAACCTACAGGTACCCAAGTTTTCACCCTCTCAAGGGTAGTGAGCCCTTGCTTTTCCACACAACCAATCAGTGGCCAATTTCATTTTGTGAAGTTTTTCCTTGTGGTAAATACATTTTGTGAAGTATTAACTTTTGGTAAATACAGCCTGATCAATCAGAGAGGGGTGAAACTGGGTTTCAAGTCTGTGAGTTGTGAGGGGGTCTCTATTCTGTGATGATGCCCCACCTTAGAGTATGCTTCAGTTAAGTCCGTGCAGTGAGAACAGGTTTCACTGCTGATAATAGGGGAAACCTGTTGTTCTCCAGGGATACTTTTGGGTGAATGGTGCATCCCTTCTAGGAAATACACAATGGAACTCAGGTCCTCTATTCCCTCTGACTACATTTTGGCATTTATTATTTAAAAAATGGGGCCGGTGTGGTGGCACATGCCTTTAATCCCAGTGCTTGGGAGGGAGAGGCAGGCAGATCTCTGTGAGTTCAAGGCCAGCCTGGTCTACATAATGAGTTCTAGGTCAGCTGGGGCTACAGCAAGAGACCCTGTCTCATAAAGACAAACCAAAAACAAAAACAATAAAACAAACAAAAAAACCAAAACAACAACAACAAAAGGGTCTAGACATAGAGAAACCAAGCAGAAACCTAGATAGAAGTTTCTTACCTACTCTTCAAATTACATAATCCCAGAGGGTGTTATGAGGCCCCTGGGGAAGAATTGTCCCCAAAGTCTTACTCAACTATGGACACTACTTGCCACATTACTTGTTAGACAGGCAGAAAGTATCCACTTGTGCGATATTTGCATCTTGGTAATTGGATAGCCAACCAGCTGAGTGAGAAAACTGATCACTTTTCTTTCCCAGCTTCCCGCATAGCAACCAGTGGCACTATGAAAACAAGTCAGCAGGGAGGAAGCTTCCAGCTTAGTTCCAGCATGAATTCTCTATGCCCTGCATCCAAAGTGTGGGGTGTCTTCAGTAATAGGCTCTCGCTTTCTACTTCTGGTAGTAAACCAGGAGCAATGACATTAACCTCTTTTGTTTTATGGGCCTTTGGGGCCTCCCTGGCTAACAACTCATAGAGTGGTGTCCCATACCTGGCATCAGGATTCTCATTTAGTAACCCATGGCTTCTAGGATTGGCATTATTTACCCATACAGGCTACCACCATTCATACTCCTTCTGTAAAAAAATTATATTTAATAATTTTATAACTATATAATGAAATCTTTGTAACCAAATGTGACCTTTATACCCACTCCCAAATGAAGAGTACTGGCTGTTTCAGGGCACATTAAGCTACATTATAACTGCAACCCCCAATTAGTTTTCTTTTGGTGTAATTTAAGAATGAGAAAGGACTCTGAGATTCCTTATATCCAGGTCTCCATGGCCTTGATGCAGGACTGTCAGCTGTTAGAAGGCTGCTGTAAATGCCTTGTAGAGTATCTTACACTAGCCCTTCTCCCTCAAACTTAGTTCAAGTTATAATTGATGACGCTTCCTTTGTGTGCACTAAAGCCCCTACACAGCGTCTCTGCTTCACCACTACCAGCCCTCCCTCCACTTGGCAGCTCTGCTTCTGCTTCTCTCTCTTTGACATCCTCCCTCCCTCCTCTTTCCTCTCCATCTGTAGAGCTCTCTCCACCCTCTCCTCCTTGCCCATTTATACACTTCTTCCCACACTTAATCAGGAACTTCATATAGGCATCTCAGAGTAAAAGTAAAAGCTTCCCCTATCCCTCAGCAAATGTTTTTCCCTTTTCATGAGGTGGTGAATGGGAACCTGGGCACCATCCATATGGACATCATTTTCCTCATATCTGGCCTGTTCCAAGTATAATACAAACTATGTTGTTTGGCAAGAATCTCTCTATGTATATTAAAGAATTCAAAAGACTCACTGGGGCTTCTGACCTTATGTGACAAGACATCTATATCATCCTAATCACTAGCTATACATACACACAGGAATTCCCATATCTGGTCTTCAGCACATGCCTGGACAGGTGAAGTTCATGTTGTAACTCAGTTACCACCTGGCGAGGCTCAAGTGTAGTGCCCTGTATGGAACTCTGTTGTTCCTATCTGGCCACTGATGAGAAAATGGTAGGGGAAGGACCCATTGAGACTATGTAATTACCTGCCTTTTATAAGACATGGAAATTGTTGTTATTTGTTAACTATAACAAGTGTGGGAGATAACACAAGATACTTCTAGGAACCCTGCTCTCCTTTAATCTAGTTTAGATGGAACCATTTGCAAGTATGCTAATCTGGTCCCTGAGCATTAAGAAGGCCAAGAAATCCTGGTTCTACATTTTATAAGCCAAACCTCTCCAGATAGTAGACAAAAACTTCAAACATTAGATCAGGAATCCCATTATGCTTTATCGGCTTGACTAGGCACAAGTTTCAGTGACTTTAATAATCAAGAAGAGAGGAAGGAAAACTAAACTGGAGGATTAAAGGGGAAAAGAGCAAGCTCAAACATGACTACAGCAAATATCTGCTCTTTGCCTGCCTTAGGGAATCTTAGCTCTCCATCTTGTGGTCATCCCAGTCCTAGGGAACTAATCTGGAAGGTCAAAATTTTATATAATCCATTTTACTTTTGTTAAGTGTAATACTTGGATATTTATTTATTTATGTATTTTTTTCAGAATATTTTTATTCCAAAGAGAGGAAATTTTTAATGCAGAAACAACTTGAAGCAGGTTACATCAAAATATATATACAATGAAGGGTTTTTTATTTTTGCTTTTTCCACATATATATTTATTCAGAAGAATATTTTATTTTATTACATTTTTACTTTCATTATATCTGACATATGTGTATTAGTCATATAATCATCTTTGATTTATATCTAACACAAATATTCTATATCAAGTTACTACTATACTTTCCCAATATACAATGAAGTTTAATGGTGGAAAAGTAGGGATAAGAAATCAAAGACTAAAGCCAGGCATGGTGGAACACGTCCTCAATCTCAGCGCTTGGGAGGCAGAGCTTGGCAGGTCTCTGTGAATTTGAGGCCAGGCCAGCTGGGGTCACAGTGAGACTCTGTCTCAAAAGACCAAAAAAACCCAAAGACCAAAGGATTTTCCAACATGGGGTCAACATTGGTGGAATGATGGTTTCTATTAGCTCTGTTCTTTTTTGAAAATCTTAACTAGTTTATTGGGGTTGCTAACAGAGCATAGGGTGGGGATTTATTTACAGAAGAGTGGGCACTCATTTATGGCTGCACTGCAAAGTCCACACTTAAATATAGATCCTGTGAATTCCTGATAGCCTCACAAAATGGTGCGAGAGGTGCCTCATGACGTTCTTGGCTTATATATCCTTAGCCCCTCCCCTACATGCAGCTAAGGTCAACTGATTGGGAAGGAGTCATGACTGACTTCCCCCTTGACTTCTTGATGAGTGTGGGAAGGAGGTGTGACCCTAGCTTTCCAGCATAGTGGTTGGAGGACACTTCCAGTTAACACTCTACCCCTTCCTCTGGCTCTTACATTCTTTCTGCCAACCTCTTCTGCAAAAATCCCTGAGCACTTGTGGGGGGGGGCAGTGTAGGTGTTGGATGATCTTCCTCCCTTTGTGGCAAGGCACTGAACTTTTGGGTCTCTGCATCATCTGTGTTCCATGGGCATAAACACATAAATACCTATGGGTATAAACACAAATGCTTGGACATTACTTTATGTCGGGAGCCATGCTTGACAGAAGCATTGGAAAAAAGAAGAGTGCCACTTTAAGAGCTTCTGAGCTCTCTGCTTCAGCAGTCTGAGCCGACAGGCTGTGCCTCCATGATTAATTAGGTCATTTAGAAACTTAGTTTTGGTTCGGTCTTCAGGCACCGGAGTTGGTGAGGTAATGCAGCAACGTGCTGCGTCCTTAGTTACTTTATGTTAGTAAAATATCCTTGGTGATTCCTTGGTGATTTCTTGGTTACCCCAAATCTGATTCCTATATAAGATCTGTGTTCCCCACAACAAAAAGCCATTCTGTGATTGCTCACCTGACTGTTAAGAATTAAACTTTTTATAATAAAATCAAGACCTTTGTCTTGACCCTTCTCTTGTTGAAGCTCCAAGCCTGGTGGGCTTGGGGGGCGTTCCACAAATTTAGCAGGTGGATCACATCCATCTAATAAAACAATTCCAGTGGCTTCCCACTGGGGCCTATATTCTCCCCTGCCACAGGGAGTTGGCCTGGTCTACAGTACCAGGTGTGTGTTTGGCCCATAGGAATGGGCATTATATCAAACTGGAAAATTTGCTGGTTGTGTATACACTAGACTCACCACTATTGTGCTAGCAGGAACATCTTGTTTTGTATGTTGATAATGCAACAAGTGGGGTCCATCGTTGAGCAGAATTATAAGGGACAACTCTCCCCCAGTCATCTGAATATTGCCTTTTGGCACCATGAAAGCCACCCATCCAGTGGCAGGGAGTTTCCAGCTTAGTACAAGCTTGATTTCTCTCTCTCTCTCTCATCATGCAGTGCCTTCAGCAATAGAGTTTTCCGTCCACTTCCAGAGTACAAGCAACATTATTGGCAATGGCCTTTATTGTTTTGGGGACCTCTAAGGCCCCTCAGGCCAACAGCTCAACAGGGGCCAACCCACCTCTGGCACTGGGATTTTAATTTAATAACCTATTGCTTCTTGGAGGGTTTTCTTGTATTCCCGTAGGGTTCCTTCTGTGCTTAAGGCATTTTTTTCCCCATAGCTC